AGTGCGGTCGCGAGCGCATCGAGTCCGACGCCGACCATTAGCTCGAGTGCTAGTTCGGGTTATTCAGATCCGTTGTTAGAAATTTGCGGTCGCTTACGCAGACTCGAGGCTGAGATTCGTAACTTGAAAGACGCTGGTGCGCGAAGTGACAGTTTCCGCCGTCGACATAGATCGCAAGAACGCAATCGCGGTCGATCTAAATCTCGCGACGGGTTGTGCTACATTCACCGCCGATACGGTGAGCAAGCGCGAGGCTGCAGACCCCCATGCAGTTGGTCTCGTTCTTCCGCACAGGGAAACGGAAACCTCCGGTAGTCTCGGCGACAACCACCGGAGCATTTACACAACGTCGCCTCATCGTCAGTGACAGGGTCTCTGGAACACCTTTCCTGATTGACACGGGCGCAGATGTGTCTGTCATCCCTGCATCGGTGCAGGATCGGCAACGTCCACAAGGACCACCTTTTTTCGCCGCCAACGAGACGAAAATCCTCACGTTCGGGGAAAGAATTTTAAAACTCGACCTAGGTCTTGGTCGCCCCATGGAATGGCCTTTCACGATTGCTGTCGTCAATAGAGCAATCATTGGTACTGATTTTTTGAATCATTTTGATTTGCTAGTAGATGTTCGAGCTGCAAGACTCATTGACGCCAAGTCATCAAGCGAAGCACGCGGAACAGTGACTTCGTCGTCGACCCCGTCGATACTGCGAGTCAAGGGCAGCAACCGGTACCAAGAGCTCCTGAACGAGACCCCTTCACTGCTAAGGGAACAGCGAGCTTCGACGAAAATTCCTCACGACGTGGTCCATTTCATCGAGACCACTGGGCCACCATTGACAGCTAGAGCTCGCCGCCTGGATCCAGAGAAGTTCAGGTCAGCACGCCATGTATTTGATGAAATGGTCCAGCAAGGTATTTGTCGTCCATCCAAGAGTCCGTGGGCCAGCCCGCTCCACATGGTGAAGAAGAAGGACGGATCATGGCGTCCTTGTGGAGATTACAGGCGGTTGAACAGTGTGACGGTCCCGGATCGTTACCCAATACCATTCCTACAAGACTGTACTGCTTTCCTGCATGGATCCAGTATCTTTTCCACTATCGATCTGAAACGCGCCTATCATCAGATCCCGATCAGAGAGGAAGACGTACCCAAGACGGCAATCATAACCCCGTTTGGGCTGTTCGAATTCACCCGGATGACCTTCGGCTTGCGTAATGCGGCTCAATCTTTTCAGAGGTTCATGAACGAGGTGCTCGCAGGGTTGGACTTCTGCGCGATTTACATCGACGACGTCCTCATCGCCTCCTCGTCTCCGGAGGAACACGAACGTCATCTTCGCCAGCTTTTCGAGCGTCTTCAACGGTACGGTCTCTTGGTCAACAGGGAGAAATGTGTTTTCGGCCAGGCGCAGGTGGATTACCTAGGACATCGCATCAGCAAGGATGGTGTCATACCTTTGCCTATTAAGGTAAAGGCCATCGTGGATTTTCCACTGCCGACCACGGTTAAGGACCTGCGACGTTTCCTGGGAATGGTGAACTTCTACCATCGCTTCCTCAAGAACGCTGCAGTCATTCAGACTCCACTGCAGTCGCTGGTTGCTGGAAGCCGCAAACAAAATGCCCAGGTCATTGAGTGGACGGAGGTCGCGAAGACCGCTTTTCAGCGACTCAAGGATGAGCTTGCTCGAGCAACTTTCCTAGCTTTCCCAGCAAGCGACGTGGAAATTGCACTACAGACCGACGCGTCCAATACTGCCATTGGTGCAGTATTACAGCAGAAGGTTGACGGAAACTGGCAACCATTAAGTTTCTTCTCTAAGAAACTGGCACCCGCCGAGCAAAAATACAGCACGTATGATCGCGAACTCCTTGCGATTCACAAGGCCATCAAGTATTTCCGAGACACTCTCGAAGGCAGGAAGTTCCACATCATCACCGACCACAAGCCGCTAACATCTATGTTTTCTCGCGCATCCAACCATTCTACGTCCAGGCAAACTAATCAGATCTCTTTTATTTCGGAATTTACAACAGATATCAGATACATTTCTGGAACCGACAACATGGTGGCTGACGCTCTCTCGCGCGTTGAGTCGATCACAATGCCTGTCTCGCTCGATACCCATGTTATCGCCGAGGCACAGGCCACGGATCAACAGCTCCGCCAGCTTCTCGCATCTACCACCACCGGTTTGAAACTCTGTAAATTCTCGCTTACAGGATCTAATGACGTTCTATATTGTGCAGTCTCCGACGACAGCATCCGAACATACATCCCAGAACCGCTCCGCAAGCAAGTGTTTGATCTGGCACACAGCATGTCACATCCAGGAACGAGAGCTACACGGAAGTATATCGCGGACCATTTCGTCTGGCCCGGCATGAATTCGGACATCGCCGAATGGGTCAAGACCTGTCTCACGTGTCAACGGGCAAAGATCGGCAGACACACTCATATGCTTCCAGATAAGATCACAGTCCCTGATGGTCGTTTCGAGCACATCCACATTGACATTGTGGGTCCACTGCCGCCGTCACATGGTTACTCGTATTTGCTGACCATGATGGATCGATTCTCTCGATGGCCCGAGGCTGTTCCGATCAAGGACATCACGGCAGCCGCAGTCGCGGATACAGTTTTCGCCCACTGGATCGCTCGTTTTGGCGCTCCCAGGCTAATAACGACCGACAGAGGATCGCAGTTTGAGGCTCAACTCTTCGCTGCTTTGGTGAAACTGACGGGTGCACACCGCTGCAGGACAACCGCCTACCACCCGCAGGCAAATGGGCTAATTGAACGCTGGCACCGCTCCTTGAAAGTGGCTCTTTCGTGTCACCAACCTACGGAGTGGATCGACGCGCTGCCCGTCGTCCTCTTAGGATTACGCACCGCGTACAAAGAGGATCTTAAAGCGTCTCCGGCCGAATACCTGTATGGTACCACACTTAAAGTACCCGCGGAATTCTTCGACTCCGAAGAATTAGACCATGATCCGCAGATTTTCATTGAAAAGTTCCGCGTGATCATGCGAAAACTTCGTCCTAGACCTACTGCGCACCATGTTAAGCGTCAGGTTTTCGTACACGACGATCTACAAACTTGTTCGCATGTTTTCTTACGCGTGGATGCGTCGCGTCGTCCCATGGAGAATCCTTATTCTGGGCCATATCGCGTTGTTAATCGCATTTCTGATCGCGTATTTCAAATCGAAGTTGGTGGCAAAACTGAGCAAGTATCAATTGAACGTTTGAAACCCGCGTACATTGCTCAAGACATTGACGACGATCCACCAATTTCGTCAACCGAACCCCCGGCGACTGATGCGAGGCCGGCAGTACAACCAAAGGGCATACTCAAGACGTATCCGCCCGCACATCGTCGTGTTACCCCCAGGGTAACTTTTGCCGCGCCTTAGTTTCTAATTAGTCATAAGGTTTTGTACATAGTATAGTTTATCTAGTTTATACCATAGTAGTTAAGCATTGTAAATATTGTATATATTCCTTTCGAACCCGTTTTCTTTTGTGAAAGGGGGGAATGATGTGGCGTCACTGCGCCAACATATCTAGGGAGTTTTACGCCCTTGCGTTAAACCAATGTAGGCTTCTTCCTTAGCCGTTCAAACTCCTCAACGGTTAACAGTCCTCGTTAACGCATCATCGAGAACGCACGTTCGCGTTACAAATACACGTCTTACCTAAGCCGCGTTCCGCCGTATCCGAATCAATCGTTGATATCCGACGCGCATCCGCCCTCGCGGATTACTATTACGAATAGTGATTAAACGACGAATCGAAGCGAATCGATATCTTTTGTATCG